CTGCAGTGTGAAGGCTGAGTGTTGACTGACAGCTGAAATTTTCTGGGAAAACTACAGTCGTTGAAACTGAAATCAGAAAAACAGTAGCTAAAACCAGCTAAATACCTAAAGGCTAAAAGTAACAAAAAGCCAACTAAATGTAGCAACGGCTGGCGAAAAGCTTTAACAGCAAAAGCCTAAAAGTAATACACTAAAATCTAAATGGCTTGAATTTAATAATTTTTTTTAATTTAAATAGCGTCTTATCAAGTCCACACGAACCCAAAGCTCTTTAAACTTCACCCATTCACACACTGCTTGCTAAAAAGACTTGTTATAAGCTAAATGTAGCAAAAGGCTAGCCAGAAGATAAAAATAGAAAAAATTCTAACAACTAAAAGGAACAAATGGTAGCTATTAGCAAAAAGTAGCAAAATGCAAGCTTAAAACTGCTAAACATCAGTTAAAAGCTAAAAGTAACAAAAGGCTAACTCAACTCATAAAAAGCCGGTGTTAAGGCTAAAGAAGTAAAAGACTAGCTAAAAGTAGAAAAATGCAAGCTATAAGCTAAAAGGAGCAAAACATAGAATAAAATCTAAAATAAGCAGAACATTAAAATAATGCTAGTTAAAGGCTAAAGGTAGAACAATAGCTGGAAGTTTAAAGTAGCGACACTAATCTTCACTATAATCCTATTAAGAAAAATAAGCAACATTTGTAGAAATATCACATTAGTAATATTATGTGTTCTATAAAGGAAAAACAAACATTTGTCATTTAAGAGCAGTTTTGTTTGTTTGTTTGTTTGTTGTTACCCATTTTAGCTGCATAGTATGGGCACTTGCTGATATCACCACCATGCATGATTTCTGCATGGCTGTGTCCAGAACCTGCATCCTGGACCTCCTCTTTGATGGTCTTTCCAATCTCCTCCAGTTCTGTGAAGACCTGTTTTAGAATAAAAAGCTTACGAACCTCATCTGAAAAGAATCTTCTTTGTTCATTTATTTCCTGCTCTCTGTTCTTCTGCTCGGTGTTTCTGTGGCTCACCGTCACGTTGAAGCCAAAAGCTTTATTGGACTCGTCGACAATCCTTTGTTTGGTCTCCGGGTCCAGCTCCAGCTCGTTCATCCTACTTCGGTAAAGCTGCTTGAAGCTCTTGTGACTGTGGATTTCCTCAAACTGGTAGAAGTTCAGACCCTCTCCTGTAGAGGGGAGCTTTAGCGCTCTCTGAGCCACTTTCTTTAGGACCTGTCCGCCTGAGAGATCGCCCATGTAGCGGGTGTAGGAGTGGCTCACCAACAGTACCGGGTCCTTCTGGCCCACCTCGTGGATGCGATCCACATAGAGTTTAATGCCTGCAGAGAGGCTGATCTGTGAGGGCAAACACAGCAGAGAAAATTAACTTTCCTCCTGTCAAAACGTTGATTAATATGAACACAACCATGAAATGATTTGTGTTCTGTTTTCAATTACTGGTAAATTAAAAAAAATGTAACATTTTCTCATGACTTTTACCTGGTAACTTATCCTCTGTGTGTTTCTTGCTCACCTGGCTCTCCCAGTTGTCTCCATAAAAATACTCCAGATCTCTGACGAGAGCTTCTCGACGGTGAAGCTCTGCGGGGAAGTAGATTGGAGCGATGTGAGGATGGTCTTTATTCCTCTCAATCTCCTCCTCCATGGCAGAGTAGACAAAATATAAAGCTGCTGTGCCTCGCTGATGACATATGAAAGAAAAATTAAATGCAATTTTGTTCATTTCTTACTGTGATGGAGCATACTTGCCCCTTCACACTTTTCAGCAGACTTTGATTTAGATCACAGTTCCTATGCACACATACTTTACACATAGCCATGTCATCCTCAAATTCTCCTTTCAGTTAGTTTGCAATTGGTCAGTAAAGTCATTGTCATATATTTTTCCTCATCAG